GATGTTACTCGTAATCTTGGTAATAGCAATGATAATGGTAACTAGAAAAAAACTTATAAAATAGAGACAGCACTAATGAATACCTATGCCTAAATGAGCAGTAAAGACTTGGATAAATCTGGAGAGAGGTACTCCCCCCCCCCTCCTAAATTCTTCCTTGTGTGTGTACTTTGACATCGCTTGGGATGGGGGGCTGGAGGTGACAAAGGAGGAGAGGGAGCATATTTAGGCTGGTTCTTCCTACTCCAGTGTCCAGCTGTCCTTGGTTTACGGCTGCTTGTGCTCCGCCCACCCTCGCTTCCTCACCCTCATTCTCAGCTGCATTCGAGGTGTTTATAAGAGTGGTTTCGGTGTTTGACTTCACTCACAACGATGGTCTATAACAGATTTCTATTTCAGAAAATAACTAGTGTTCCTTCCATATGTGGAGATAAATCATTGCTATATGATATTCCATTACTCGGACACTACTTATTTTTGAGTAAATATCATTTATTGAGCTGTATGGAGATAATTATGTAGTCAAAATGTTGGGATTAAAGGTATCATGAGAACTGTTAAGTATATCAAGAAAAACTAAATGTCTGCGTCCTTGTTTTGATACAATGTTAAATAACAATTTCCCAACAGAAGTTTGCAGTTGTTCTTTTGTTCGCCTCAGTGGTGTGCGCCGTCCAGGCTGATGATGATGATTCGCAAGGTGGCAGATAAATCGTTTTCTGTTTACCTTGGCTTTTATACTGAAATATTGGTATACAAAAGTAACAAAGATTTTTTATACGCTGTTATGAATTATATAACTTTTTCAGTTCCAAGCTATGGGACATACAATGTATTTTCTTTTTCACAGGGGCTCAAGCGAGACTCCTCGCCCAATTTGGCACAACTACTGTGACACATGTTAGTACTGTCACCGTTATGGCTCATTACACTTGCGCCAAATGTAAGTATTTCAATTCAGCTAGTGGTTCTTTTGGAGTTCTGAACTTTTTAAAATCCAGTTCATATCCATGAGGGGCCGCCCTTGAGTGGCTAATCGTTGGAACTGAGCGAACTGCAACTTGGACTGACAAAACTTACGAAGACTAAGTCCCGCCCTGTTCCGCCAGCTGTCGCCTCCACCACCTGCTCCGGCCGGAGGCGACGTCGTAGAGTCAGGCTAGACATCGGTAACAATTACAACCCTGGCGCCTACGAGACACTCGCTGGCAGTGTAGTGAACACCGAGATTGAACAACCCGAAGAAGGCACCGACAGGGGGAAACTCTTCACGGTTTGGAGGACAAGCATTTCGACTCTCATGATCACGTCTACCTCTTACAATAGGGATATCACCGTGTCTGTGTCCCTCTATTGCACCAACGCCTCCATGCTGTACGAAATGTGTTAAACGCAGAAAGAACTTCCCTGGCTTAGGCATCTCCAGCAGCAAGATCATTTATTTTTAGTATTATGTGTATGCATATATAAATTCATTCGATTGTGTGTAAAATGCTGGCACTTAAAATAAATATTCACTATTCAAAAGAGTTTTACCACATTATTTTAGATAGTTAATATTACACATGCATATATGTAACATGTACACACACACACACACACACGCTTATATGTGTATCTGTGTGATAAAAATAGATACATAATAATATATATGCATATATTTACTCACACATATATAAATATGTATATATACATTCACATCTATATATGGGTTCGTGTGTCTGTGAGTGTATGTATAGATAGATAACTAGACAAACATGTATATATATATATATATATATATATATATATATATATATATATATATATATATATATATATATGCATATATGTATGTGTGTGTATGCGTGTTGACTTAAAAGACTCAAAGAAATTCAGAAAATATCCACATTTATATATAGATAATTATTATAACTGGTATAATTTTTCCCAATCATACACGTATAACAAATTAATCAAAGGCGACCAGAGGTCTGGAATGGATGGTAAGCCTCGATACAAACATAACAAAATATCATTGAAAGGCACTCTGACACGAGTGCAAGACGCAAAGATAATATATATAAATATATTTATATTCAAATATGTATACATGTGTGTGTATGCTCGCGTACGTGTGTGTATGTATGTGATTGTATGTGTGTGTGTGTGTGTAGTGTAGTGTATATACATGTGAATATATATACACACTAAACGTATACACTATATGTGTGTGTATATGTATATGCATATATATATGTATATATATATTATATGTATATACAGTGTATGTGTTTATACGAAATAAAACTTACAATACTTTATGCGTTTCCGAATAAACAACGTGGCTTGTTATTTAGGATTCAGCATTCTCTAAAACTCGGCCAGGCAAATGGCATGGGACTTTGCCGATATCAGGAAAAATGTCTATATTAGTATATATATACACATGTATATGCATGCATGTTTATATAATTATATAATATATATATATATATATATATATATATATATATATATATATATATATATATATATAATGTTTATATGAGTGTGTGTGTGTGAGATGTGTGTTTGTATTGTGTGAGTGTGCGTGTGTCTTTGTGTGTGTGTATGTGTGCATACATTACTTTTCGAGAATATGGCTCATCTTATTTACTGATAGCAATCGCGCATCCCGTACGCAATACTATTTTATTTGGTACCGTAATGAAGTATTACGTTATGCAGCAGCATCTAAGAGTCGGCCAGGAAAATGACAGGGAACATTTCCATCAGAAAAAAGACATTCTCTATATTTGTATTTGTTAACATTTCTGTGGAAACGGCCAGCATACGCCTTAAAGAGAACAGTAATATATGCCTGCGTTTCGAGAATTTCCAGTCCGCGACGGCTGCCTTCTCCGCCTAGAGTGCGGAAGCCTCGACCAGAGTGACCTTTGCGGGTGACTTACAACTGGAGGCTCGTAGGCTTCACTCTCATGAAGCCGTATCATCTTTTTAGGTTTAGAAGCACAATCCAGGATTAGATTCACATACAATGCATGCAAAGCTACTAGAACCACTTCGCATTTTCGTTTTCTTCCTCTGTACTTTACCTTCCTTTGCTTTTTTTTTTTTTTTTTTTTTTTATAAATCAATTGGTGTAATAATTGATCAAGGAGTGCACTGAATCACAATGAATGATACTCTCTTATCTGGCTGCCTATTTTTACTTCCCTGTACAATACACATCAAATAGTTTCCGTTACATGTGTGTCTATGTAACGGATAGTTGAACAAAGTTCCTGGCCACATCGGAGTCGTAGGCTCAAATGAGGCCCATATTTTTCTCATGTCTTTGAGCTTGTGAATTTTCGTCGTTTGTTCCTTCTCTTTCTAAATTTATCGCTGCTCCGGGGCCTATACTGGCAATTTTCCTCATAGGCCTAGGCGTTCACCCTCGCTGCATTGCGTATATAAGGTGCAGTACCTTGGGTCTACAGTGGTTATTCTTCCGCAGTCATGGTTTAGTGGTGGTCTTACTCCTGGGACCAACCATTTAGTTTAACTTCTTGAAAGTATGATGGATATAGAAGGAAAGAAGTGACGAAGTTCGTGATACACAATACATCTATACCATATACTTATCTTTTCCCAACAGAAACTTGTAGCTGTTTTCCTTGGTCTGTTAGCGGTGTGTGGAGTCCAGGCCGAAGATGTTGCAGAGAATGAAGCAAGATTGATTGCCAACTATCAGACAACTACCTTCATAGAGATGAGCACCATCACCACCGTGGGTCACTACACTTGCGCCGTTTGTAAGTATTTCTCTTCAACTAGTGGTTTTCTTTCTTTCTTTTTTAGTTCTGAACATTTTGAAAGTCGAGTAAATGTTCATGGGGGCCGCCCATAGTGGCTTATCATTTTAATTGAGTGAAACGAAGCCACTGCAACGTAGGCTGATGGCCGAAATTTGGACTAACAAAGCTGAGGAAGACTAACTCCCGCTTTCTCTCGCCAGCTACCGCTTCTACCGCCTGCTCCGGCCGAAAGCGACGTAACGTCATCTTAGACATCAATAGCAACTCTGGCGATTTCAACCCTAACGTTTCCGAGACACTCGCTGGCAGCTTATCGGCCACCGAGCTTGAAGAAGCCAAGGAAGACGGCGGCAAGGATAAGTTCTTCTTCACGCTCTGGAAGACAACCACTTCCACCTTCACGGTCACCTCCACTTCCTTCAATAGGGACATCACCGTGTCTGTGTCTCTTTTATGTGACCACGCCTCCGCGCTGTACACGCTTTGTTAAACACAGAGAAAGAGCTACCCTGGCCTAGTCGTCTCCTGCAGTGAGACAGCTAGTTTTTAGTATTAAGTGTATGCATATATAAATGCGTTCGATTGTGTGTAAAAAGCTGGCCCTCAAAATAAACATTCACTATTCAAAAGAGTTTTACCGCGTGATTCTAGCAATAGCAAATTCTACACATACATGTACACGCACACACGATACAAACACACACATAAACCTATCTATATATATTTATATATACATATATACAACAAGAATGGAAAATAATTGTAGAGCTTTTGAAAAAACAATGAGCATAGACGTGATGTTAGATACGCCAGAGAATCTAATGCTTGTTTTATTCACTTACGTGACGAAGGACATCAATTAAATTTGAAAGACGCCAAATGTATTCATATCCACAGTATTACAGTTTATCTGCGAAGTAACAATATTATTGTCAATGTTTTGATTTACAAACCACATATGTTGCAACACACGAAATGCTTCCAAACTATGTAATATTTAGCTGATATAATTCTACTTACCCTCTTGTGTTTGCGACTGAACATGGTCGGGATAACATTCATCATTATTATTTCGATAAAGCTCTTCGACAATGCTAACTGGTGGGAAGCTGGGGCTGCTTACTTCATCCAATGTCGTTCTGACTTACAACACCTTTTACAATACCACACTTCAAAATATATGACAATAATTTATATTATTGTACTCACCCTGTTATGTTGACAGAGGCCCTTGCTTTTCTTCCTGCTCATTGCTCAAATTGCATTGCGACTGCGTATGGTCAGTATGGCAATCTCCATTATTTCGAATTTGATCTTTAACATTGTTGATTGGCTTTGGTTCATCTGTGGAAGCACAGGAATTAATATCGATGTCATTTTAACACCTTGGGGGATGGGAAATGGATTTCCTGATCGGTTGCCGATCTGACCCCAGGTGACCTTGCCTCACCAATACTAAAGCTAAAGATACTTAAATAGTTGCAAGAGGAGAAGAAGGGTTTTGAGATAATATGCTAATAATACCAAGGTCAATAGCAATAATA